TGCAGATACAAACACGGGGCACATTTTCCACAGCAGCCATGTTCGGACACACAATGCTTCATTCTGGGTGTTTACACACCAGATAGTTCAGCAGGCTCGGTTGGACTGGGGACCAAAAATTGCAACATTTGTTACATTTTCAGTTAGTGCAGAACTGTTTCACACTGCACTGTTTCAAAAATGGAGTGGCGTCACATTTCAGTGATTGTATTTTTTCTCTTTTGTTTTTGGAAAAAAAAAAAGACAAGACATTTCTACTGCTAGCGCTAAACCAGCACATTTGCTTTGGTGGTATTTACCCAGAATGCTCTGCATTATAGTTCACTTCCTGCTTTAGGAGCAATCTCCGATCCACTTGGCGTTCATATATGCACTTCACTTCAACCAAATCAAGACTGAGGTTTTAGGCGGACCAGAGATGGATTTTGCACCTTCACACCTACCTAAACGAACCGGACTTTAGAGTTCGATTACACAGGGTTGAACAGGACTGGTGTGAATGCATCCTCAGTCTACTGCACAAAACTTCATTGGCAGGCCTCTGTCTATGAACCTTCAGAAAATAATCATGTTTGTTGTTGTTTGTGTACTGTAACTATAAACAGAGACATTAAAAACGTTGCTTTTGTGTGCCTCGGTGACAATGACCCAGAAGTTTCCATCTAAACCGTGTTGCTTCTGTTTACAACGTCTCAGGTGCTAAACAGCTGGGCTGATCGGCCAATAAGCAAAATATTCCCTAATTCTGTGCAGATTGTCAGTTTTCCACTGGGACTCTTTCTAAAACTGAAGCAGCTACAGATGTCCAGATTAATATAATTAAATTCCTCCAAGCCAACAGAGACGCCTCCAACTCACAGGATCATGTCCAAATAAACCACAATGTCTTAAACTGGTAAATTAAGCTAATCCAATCGGCCTCTTTAAGTGCCCTGCTGCTTCAAAACAGCACTCCTCGCTGGCAGGCTGCAGCGCTAGATGGTATATGGTCCGTCTGCATCTGCCAAGAAAAAAAAATATAGCAATTTGAAGCAGCTTGTTGGCAGGCGCCTCGTAAAGAAAAATAAAATATATAAAATACAAAAAACCCTCCACAGCAGGTGTCACCTCAAGGAGATGAACAACTGCAGCGCAATGGGATTTCTAAAGAGGCCCGTCAATCGGGCGGCGTGACCTTCAGGGGCCACACGCATATCGGGAAAGTAAGGACGGCCATGTGCACACGCGCACACACACGCACACGCACGCACACACACGCACACACACACACCACCGGAGCAGGGTGGGAGCAGCCGTCGCGCACAAGGGAGGTGTCGGCTTTCTTCCGCCATGGAAACAGCTGTGCAGACATGCATGAAACGTTGGGTGGGTGAAGGAGACGTGCAGCTGTCGTGAGACGGACACAAAGTTAGAAGTGCTACAAGACGCTGGAGATCTTATTCAGTGCTCTAAGGCTGGATGGTCACATTCCAACAACAAATCTGAGCTCACATGTTGATCTTACTGAGCGCGCTTTGAGCATGACCAGAAGGGTAAACGCTGGTTGAAAGAATGTTTTACGTTCTCCGTGGATTGCTGACCTAATTTCAACAGCTTTTCAAATTGCTGCTGCATTATTTGTTGTCTTGACAAAGCTGCTGATTTCACTGAGATAAGACAGACTGAGAAGCAAATGCACAAGAAAACAAGAAATATTACTAAAAAGTAATAATCAACAAGACTATTGTGGTAAAGTGATCTTAACTGATATTCTTCGCTGCTTTATAAGTACAATAATCTGGACTGGACTAGACATGGCGTCATCCGTTTACTTGTGAAGGAGAGCGGCGGGGTTAAGAGCCTGACCCCAAAAATTCCCCATCCACAAAGTAAACAAACCTGCACAAAAACACCACCAGTCCAACAAGCTGCACTGAGTTGGCCTTCAGCTCACATGCAATTTTTGGCAGCAGGGTAAAGTTTGGACCGGTGCTGTGGAGACGCTTGTAAACCTCAGGAGGCGTCCGTTTAGACCAGAGAGACTGGGGCTGAAAGTTACAAGTGTGCCGCCAAATTATTTCCCTTTCCTACAGCTTCTCAACCTGCTAAAGCTCGTTTTTTCCTCGTGTTCTTACATTAGCCGTCTTTCTAAAAGTGCCACCATGAGCTCATTGAGGGAACTTTTTTGACTGCAGAGCCCTTCTAATAACCAACCGCTCTGAAAGAAAACCAAACGGAAGTGAAATTTTATTTTTACATTGCTTCAAAGCGAAAATCTCCTGACCTCTCTTGTGCAATAAAGAAGCTTCTTGTTTTCAGTTAGCGCAGCAAGAAGAGATGCCAACTGAAAACCTCTTAAATCAAACCACAAACACACTCCAACAGAAAAAAGTAGAAAAGTTAAAGTTAAGCTTGCACTGGGTGTGTGGATTGAACTCTAAATGCTAAATTTCCAGAAGATTTGATACACACACACACACACACACACATATTAAAAGACTTATATATTCATTAATCTAAAAAGGGTCTGAAAAGGAATATGAAGAAGCAGAATTGTTTTCTAATCCAGTCTCTTTCTCCCAGACTTGTCAGTTGTGCTTCTACTTAAATATCCCTGTCATAACACATACTTAAAGGTATGTGCATACCTGCATGATCTCTGAGCTTAAATATGAATATGAAGAACCATTTCTTCTGGAATGCACAAATTTAAAAATGAAATGAAAAACTGGTTCATAAAGATGTCCTTGTGTTCATTTTGGAGCTAAAATGAAGACGCGTTGTCTATTTCTGTCCTAAGTGTCTTGTTTATCAGCTATCAGAACAGGCAAAAAAAATCCTTTCAGACCGGTTTAGCAACTACATACTACAGAGCCAACTCATCCAGACATGCAACCGAAACCACAAAGTATGCGCTGCTCTTCGCCTCCTCCGCTGCTTGGAGTAATCCCTGCTTATCCTGTAGCTTCCCAAATACTATATCATCACGAATTATGCTTATTTACGGTGCTGCCCAGGTCAAACGTTTCCCACAATACGGGGACAGTGGCGCTCTCTAGTGTCCCCTACTTCCTTACATAAACCATAGGTCCAACATACCGCTCCGACCAGCTTATGTTTTTGATACAATCAACAGAAAAGCATGAAACCAGATGTAGCCCACCAGAGGAAAGGGAAATCCACCGGGCAAAGGATAATCTTGACTGCCAATAAGAAAATGTTTATTAAAAATGAATAAATACGAGTAGTACACGAAAAAGAAAAAGGGGTGTATTTAAAGCACATCGTGGCTGGTGGGACAAACGTTCAAGCAGCTGAGAAAGCAGTGGAGAAACTACGCGGCGCCACGTTTGGAGAAAAAGTTGGAGGGCTGAGTAATCCCGGTGAAGCCCCCCTCCTCCCTCCCAGCGGCGGCACCTCGCTGCCCATTGTTCGGGCAACAAGCTGCACATTCCACCGCGCTGGTAGCCTCCGCAGCTGGGGGACAGCTAAACCAAGCCTGGGCTAAAGAAAGGGCACAACTGGAGGCGGAATTCAGCAAAAATACTCCATCCAGTGACAGGAATAAAGCTAAAGCCCTGGTCGAGTTTTCAAGACGTACTTAGCAGAATTGACGACGCTGAAGTTGGTGTCCGATTCGAAGCGTGACCAAACTGCATGAGAATCTGGTCAAACTTGAACTGGAAATGGAGCCATTTTAAAGTTTGTTGGCCTTGGTTTCAAGATGAACCTCCATTTACACAAACAAAGAAACAAAAAATAAAACGAAATTGTGTTTTTCTGTTAATTTCCAGGCTTTACCAGCCATTGTATTTCTAGTTTTCAAGTTAAACCTCATCCAAGTTGGTGAAGAAGTAAAATACCTTACAAAAATCAACTTTATTTTTATTTATTTTTTTTTTTATTTTATGTTTCACAAATTGTATTTCATAGTTGTGATCAGTGTTGAATAATTCTGTCCAGGTTCAATCTGTCTAGTTACCGTAGTTCTGGACCCATCTAAAAACGGTAGAGAAACATTAAAAATTAAATCCAAATAGTCATTAGTGAGTTTTTACAATCAGAATAGAAGTTATACAAAAAATAAATTACATTTTATATAAGATGTGATGTTGCAGATATATTTTGTCTGGGTTTGACCTTTTTAAGGACGCTGTTTTTTGTATAAGAAGATAAACCAAATATGAAATCCTTAAAAGAACCACTTTTACAAACCACAAAGTGTATTTTATAGAACTTGTATTTTTATTTGAATAAAAATATTCTGTTCCGGTGTGACTTTTTTATGCATTTTAGTTTTCAATCTGAATCTCATCTAAGGACATAAAGGCATTATAAGCTTAGAATTTCCATGTTATAAGTTCAAACAGTTCACAAGTTGCAATGGCAAGAATTTATATAATTTTAAGCAATATTCCAATACAATTTGACCACTCTAAGTGATTTATGTATCAAACAAGCAGATCAAAGGTATCTTGGTTAAATAAAATCAAACAGCTCTTTAGTCTGGAGCCTAAGGAGAAGTATCGAATCGGATACCAACTTCAGCGGCGTGCCGAGAGTTCAGCGGAACGCAGGAGTCTTCAGCTAGCTTCAAATGTAGCTAACTTAAGCTAAACTGCTATGAAACATGTGAGAAGAAGCTCTATCGATAAAAAAAACACGACTTCCTAACCCCAACTAACCCTTTACCCACTCGCCTCAAAATACTTTTGAAGGGTATTATGTGGTTTTGCTTTCTCTAAGTGAGTCTAGCAAAGTTTTCCGCTCGTCAAACTCCGTTTGCTCCAAAACAAACTCCCTCGCTGTAATCTCAAACAGGGCAGAACTGGATTTTTTTTATTCGGGTGGGGTTATTTTTTTAAGTTTAGTTTCCCTGCTTCTCCAGACAGTATGGGAGCGCCCGTTCCGCAGCGGGGACACCCGGAGAAGTGGTACCGACATCGGACTGCGCCGTGGTCACGCTCCCCCTTCCACGGCGCCACCCCCCCCGCCACCCGCATGATCCAAACGCAGCTTACCTTCATCCAGAAGCCGCTCCAGGTGCGTGAAGATCCCGCAGAGATTTGGCAAACTGGTCATAAGCTTCTTTTCGTTTAATAATTGCATCAAATAGTCCGGACTCGGCCTCGGTCGTTCCTTCACTTCGACCTCTCCGACCATCATCTTTGCGGCGAGAGCGAAGAGCGAACCACCGTGAAAACACAAAATCCTCTTTTAAGAAAAAGAGAAAAAAATGAAAAAGAAAAAAAGAACTTGCTGCTTCAATCCCTCGCTTCCCTCCTCCTTTAGAGCAGAAGAAGATTGTGTAAGCCCCTCTAAAATTCAGGTTTTTGTTGGTTCTTGTTGTCTCAGTGGAGAGGGGGGCCGAAAAGAAAACCGTTATGTCCCTTCCACAGACTCTCCTTTACGCCGTGTGCGCTCGGGGACGTTCGATTCCACCACTGTAGAAAGGAACCCGCCCCCTCAACGCTTATTGGTCAGCTCGTGTTTCGGGGACTAATTTTAAAACCAATCAAATTGAGCGTTGATGCCAAGAGGGCGGAGCGACATTGTTACATCGAATGATGGACAGGGTTTGCAACCAATAGCGGGCTGCATGCAGGAATGCACATAATGCCACCGAAGTGTTGTCAACACAGAATGAAGAAAATTATTTATTTCATCTTTACGTTGTTTACGGCCATTGGCATATTTCTGAACGTGCTCATTCTGTCGAAGTTGAACAACAAAGAGTCAGAAGACCGCTTACCTTGAACTGTAAGCATAAGTCAAATATAAAGACACAAAGACTCCATAGGGAGTAAAGACAAGGGGGATATGTGAAGGAACGTTCTCCCAAAAAGGGGCGAAATGGCTGGATAATCATGAAAGGCAAGTTGAGCATCTAACACAAAATGAACACTTCACCCAAACAAGGTGATGGCAGCATTATGCTGAAGATCTGCTGTCTTTCAGCAGGGACGGTAATTAGATAGTCCAGGAAGAGAACCTAAAGTTGCTTAGAAGATTTGAAAATGGGGCAAAGGTTCATCTTCCAGCAGGACAACACGTGGCTCCTGCCCACAGCATCAACCTCCTCATCGACTCTTTTAAGATCTTAGAGTAACATGTGGTATGTTAACATATCATTTCAGTCTGGGATAAACGAAGTATTTTTGAAATGAATTGAACTGAACTGAGTTAAACATTCAGCTGGAGTAGAAATGGAATGATTTAGATCAAAGCACATTCATGCTCCAGAAAATGGAAAATGTGAAGAAAGACTTGCAAACTGATGTTTCATCTCCAGATGTGGAAAGGTGGGGAAACATACAACTAAACATTGAACTGGAAGAGTTTTCCTCTTGAGCCTCAGGTTGTGTATTTGTAAAAAAAAAAAAAAAGAAAAAAAAAAGAGGAATTGAGAACCATGTTTCATTGTCCTACAACACCATTTGTGTTGGTCTATCACATAAAACCACCACAAACTTAAATAGTTTGTGGATGTAAAATAAAACCCGCAACAGTTCAAGATGTGTTATTGCTTCTACAAGATATTCCAAGAAAGGGATAAAAAGCAGTAATGATTTGCAAAGCAAGCAAAATGTGATTAAATTACACAATTTCTACTAATTATTTGGCTCCTGATCAAAAGTTCTATGACTCCATACATCATAAGAGCTCATATAGCAACTTTAGTGTTGAAGATTTTAATTCATAAAGTTATTGACATAATTCTTTTTTTGTTTCAAATAATAGAAAAATAGATTAGTTTTTATTTCATTATATGTTGCACAAATGACTCACATCCATGCGCAAGTAGTGATACAGCGATCCAGAGGATTCCTTTCCCATAATCCGTAGGTTTGGTGAAGATGTAAGGTTGTTGAAATGACTCGTACAGGTCTCCTAATCTGGTGTAGTGAGCTGGTATGAATACTCATACGTGGGTTGAGTGTGTGTTCAGTCTTTTGCTTCATACACAGGATTTGTGTGTGATAGACATACTGTAGCTCCTCACTTGCCAAGACCAGCCCACGAATAGGAACATCAAATCATTTATGTGTGAGTTTCAGTTAGGTTGTTGAAATGCGAATAAAACAAAAAACATTAAGTCTATTTCTTGACAAAAGCCTACACTTCCAGATATCTTGTTACTCCACTGATCAATGTTGCCTTTCATTGTCCTGTCCTTGGAAGCACCTTTCCACAAATGCTCCAGAGATTAGCATACTTGATCAGTGCAACACACAATGACAGGTATTCACGTCCTGCTATGATGAAACACAAGTGGTACATTCTGATTGTAACACCTGTTGGTTGAGAGGCACCCGGCTAAATCTGAGCCCTGACCTTGGCTGCCATTCAATTTGTCCGCTGACCCAGTGAAGTGCTTGGAAGTGCATGAGTGCTGAAACAGCTGCACCAGAATCCCGTAGCTGCAGTCTGTCTCCATGTGTTTGTGAAAACTCTTAAAGTTCTTATAGTCAAATACCATTTCTGGTATTGACTATAATCTCTCCTTCTGCTAGCTGTCTATTCTCATGGTCGACTGGATAAAGGTCTAGTGTTTGTAAGCAGGACCTGCTTTACTACCCCAACAAATACCGTATATTGTTTTGTGCTTGTGCAAGATGGACAAACGAAAGATTTAAAAGGCAGTATTGTGTATTTTCCAGGCACAGAGTGCCATTTTATAGCACAATCAAATAACAATGTCACCTTCAGTTGTAATAGAAACACTATACATATGTAAAACATGATTTAAAATAAGTTTAACTTTGAAATTGGGCCTCTTTCTTTTTAAAAAAAACCTTGCTTTTCCTGAAACTCTGCTTTCAGGAAGTTATCACAGACATCTAACTTTTAATTCAATTCAATTAAAGAATATGTCACCTATCCCAAAGGGAAAGCATATTATTCAAGCATATGTCTTGCAAAGAATCTGAAGAGGCCTCTCACTAGTCTCCTGACTATCATTGCATGCTAACAGCTCAATATCTGGGCAGTAATGTTTCCTGGGTGACACTATCAGTTGTTGGCAAGCACCACTAATCCAAATCATTTGCTTTTGCTACTCCTCTTTAAATTTCTATCTGGCTGAATGGTTTGAAAGATGTTGGAGTAGGGGATATGATCTTTGCCCACTGTGATTGATAGAAGTGATGGTGTGAACTCCCGCCATCTCTCTCTGCTCTTTGGTCCTGCTCTGCACCCCCGAAGCCTCATTTTCAACTATTCTGGGATTTGGGTCAGGTATTATTTGAGCTTTTGAGATGCTAATCAGTTGCTCTCAGTTGTAACTGCTTATCCTTTCCGGATTGCAGATTAGCTTGGGGATGGGGGGGGCACACTGTGCACATAAATACTTATTTACAATGGCAACCTGGAGAGACTAATTACCTAATGTGCATTTTTGTGGAAAAAAGAGGGAGCTGGTGAGAGAGAGCCCACTCTGAGAACCCCAGCTGGGATTTAAACCCAACAACTTGTTGCATTTCAACAAGTAAAGAACTATCTTGTGGTTTAGCAGAGAGCAACAACATACCCTCAACTTAATGAAATAATCTTTTATTATTTTCATAAAAAATAACAATATAGTCTATAGGAAACATGATATGCATCACTGCATATGATAATCAGTGATTTTTTTAATGTATCTGTCCCATTTGTTGATTTATTTTTTCAAAATAACTTTTTATTTTTATTTTTTCCTCCTTAGTCATCATTGAGTTTGCTGGTTGGTGGAGGTTTTTTGTTTTGTTTTGTTTTTTAACCAGCAGTCAGTGACCCTGACGAATAACAATGATTTTATTTGAGTTATCATGGAAATTAAAACATTCCTATCCAAGGCGCCTTTGATCATTTTTATGGCCACAAATTATTTTCATTCCCAATCATTAAAGCTTCAAGTCATCTTTCATGGTAAAATCCCATGACTAAAAAGTCGATTTAGATGTAATTTGTCACCTGAGGAAGGACATAGTCATAATATCATCACATCATCAGCTTTAAATGCTGCAGTGAAGGTAGAAGCTGAATTTATCCAAACTATGCTAACACAGTTTAATAAAAGGGAATTGTGCGCTTTTTATCTTCACAGAAATGTGGCATCCTCTCAGTCTCTGGCAGAGCATCAAATGAGTCTCAGTGGCAGTGTGTGTGTGTGTGTGTGTGTGTGTGTGCGTGCGTGCGTGTGTGTGTTTTCATCAGTTACACAGTGATGACCTCTAACACTGGTCACAAGTACAGTTTTGATCAAGTGGCAGCAGTTCTTGTCTGCAGAATAAATATGTTGCCACCCTTGTAATGGGGGCATGTCTTCCTAATTGTAACAGAAACACAGTGAGCCAGACTTACGAGACATTTGATCCTTTTTTTTTTCTTTTTTTTTTACCGTCAACACCTTATAATAAAATATTAATATATTTTGAACATTCCTACATTTTGACACTTTAAGCTTCAAAGTATTTTATTTGGGTTTTATGTAATAGATCAACACATGCATTTGTATTCAGGCTCCCTGAGTCAACAATTTGTGGAATCACATTTTACTGCAAGTCTTTTGAAGTATTTCGCAACTAGTTTTGCACATTGAAATTTCGACTCATTCTTTTTCAGTTTAGAGAGACATTATCTTTTCATACTTTGCTGCAAATTCTGAAGTTTAGTTTTGATTCTGGACTTTGACTAGGTTATTCTAACTCATAGATATGCTCTTATCTAACCCATTCTTTTGTAACACTGAATGTTTAGCGTTGTTTTCCGGAGGGCGAACATCCATCTCAGTCTTTAGTCTTTTCCAGTTTTCATCTATCTCCCTTTAAACTAAAAAGCTTCATCTAAAGAAAAGCAGACGTTATGACTACTTTTCTAGATAGATGACTTTTGAAAGTGATTGGTTCTTCTGGAAACTAACAAACTTTTGAGCTTTATTTCTAAAAAAAAAAAATAAAAAAAAGATTTCAAATTCAAAAGCCAGAAGATTTTCCTTCTACTTCACTATTATGCTTTGTTTTTGTAAATCAATCATATAAAATTCCAATTCAACACAATCAAATTTGAAAAAAATGTGACAAATTGTGGAGCAGTTCAATGGATGTTAATACTTTTGTATGAAACAGAATAAAAAGTCGCTGAAGGACAACATCCAGTCACCTTCGTGGCTCCTGCACTGCTTTTGGATGCTGACTGTTCTGACACATACGAAAAGAAGGCAAAACATTTTGAATCAAAACTGCTATTGAACGCAATTAAAATTAAGCATCACTGAGTGAATTCAGTGAAACTGGCTGCTGGGTGTCAGTCCTTTTCAGCCCAAAGATATTTGTTCTACATTTTATTAGTTATAATTAAAAAGCAAGTAGTCAAAGTGTCAAGAATTTACTATCTGGCTCAAAATCAACAATGCCAGGAAATGACAGACAGCTGAATTTATTTCCACCACCACCAATTACTCAGGCCACATGAAATGGGCCCCATCATCCAGACGGTCTGCGGTATCAGCGCGCCATCTTAAAGCAGGGATGATGAAGCATCCCTTGAAGTCAAACACTGATAAGTGATTTTAGCGGATAAGACTTTGCAGATAGACCACAGCAATAAGAAACCAAGTTTAACATGTGGCTTGGAGATAGCTAAGTTGTTCACGGTTTTGACTTCACGTTTCCCTTTCTTCCATCCTTCCTGTTTGACTGTAAGCGTTGGAAAAGTCACAGTCCTCCAGCATCAAAAAGAATCTGGCATTTATTTTGAGCTTTGAAAATGGGTTTAGTTCTTATCGCTGATGGTGTGCATGGTAATTTGCACCTTGACTCTCGCTCATTCTTCTGAGGTTGGTTGCATGCAGTTTGTGTGTAAACGTTAAGATTTGTGTGAAATAATGATAGAGAGTTGGAGTGATGTGGCAGCGCACTCCTAAACGTGTGTGTGTGTGTGTGTGTGTGTGTGTGCCGTCTCCTTCTGTTCTGACAGCCTGAGAGTAAACAGAAACAATATTAATCCCCCCTTTTGCTCCCCCTGCCCTTGTGTTTTCGTCATTTTTAATAACACGGTTTCTATTCAACAATTAATCCAATTAACAAGGATTCAGATAATTAATGAACATGCGTTCAACCTCTTTTGAGGAGAGGCTGTTAGCACAGTCACAATGAGCTCGGAGAGAGCGCCCTGGGTTTTCGACTCAAAGTATGCTGATGGAGACAATCGGGCTCCTCGGCAGGGGCCCCGAAGCTTGTTGCGGCTCGCCTCGGGGGCTGCAGGCAGAGGAAGTGAGCGGGAGCCGGTGATGATGAGGTATGGTTCAGTTCTGATAATGCCTGTGGCTGTGAAGGAGGCGAACAGCCTCTGATATACAAACAAGAACAACATCGCTCATTCTTTCTTCTGACTTGTGAGTTTGGGGACTGTGGGGAAAACGTGCTGGCAGAATCTAGGTCATTTACATCTTGAGGAAGGTGGGAGTGGAGCAGAAATTAAATAAATGCCTCTCTAGAAACTAAAACATACACAGAGAATAAAGAGAAAGTACACACCTATCATTCATTGCAACATCAACAGCCACTTTATTAGATACACCTTACTAGAAACAGGTTGGAGCCCGTTTTACCTCCAGAAGTGTTTTAATTCTTGGTGGCACAGATTCAATAGTTCTTTGTCCAAATTAAAAGTTTCATGCAGCTGCTGCAGATTTGTTTCATCTGTAGCTGCGTTTCCATTACAAATGAGTGCAAGTCCTCGTAGAAAAAGCACAATTTTGCATTTGTGGTGCTTCCATTAAATAAGAAATTAAATTAAAATTTGTGAATAAGCTTGTAACGCAATGTCATGGCAGCGACGGATGTAAACACTTGCATGAGATACGTACATTTTTATTCCCTTCATATCAATTGAAGAAATTATGCAATTTTTCATAAACATAAATTTTATTTTGAGTGTTTACATTGTATTAGGTGAAACATTTCAATATATCATTATATCTATTTAAATATACATTTTGGTGATCTACCAACTTTAAAGTCAATTTAATCACCTTTCCTGTTCAGTCCGATGCTCACTTTGAAGCCAACATCATCACATCATGTGATTGGCTGATTCAGTATTTGTGAACTTGTGTACCTAATAAAGTGGCCAGTGAGCGTGTCGCTTGTTTCACCAGCATGACAGAGGCCCAAATCGCTCAGAACAACCTTCTGTTGCATTTGTTAGTGACTGGAGATTGTTTATCTACAGATCACTGAAAGCAACACGAAGATCTGGAGGGTGAGAGCAAAACTAATGAGAAAGAAATAAAAGCAAAGGTAGCTCATGCTGGGCAAAGTTCGCTAACCCCACAGGGTTTACTTTGTAGTCTGTAAAGCAAAATTCAATAAGAAGCTTTAACTTGCTCTGTGCACGCCTTGTTTTTGATGCCATTATTGAAGAAACAATACAAATGCTTCAGTCATTAAGACAGGATGCAACATATGTGCCTGACTGTGTCGAGACGCAGCCTCAGGCCTCTCACTGAGAGAAATTAACCACACGGAAGAGATGTAGAAGGACTATTCTTAGTCTGAGACGATTTTACTACACATTCAATGCAAGACTGGGTTGACAGTTAAATAACACACTCATACATACTCTATTTGTTTATATAAAAACAGTGATAATAACCTTTAAGAGACAAATCATTATGCTGCGTTCGTAAAGATTCAATCAGCAAGCAGCAGATTTGGTGTTTCACACAACTCTGGGCGGCAGAAATCTGTTGGCAGCACTGATGAACATCTCAGCCATCTGTCAGAGATTTTAATCAACCCAAATCGCTCTGTTCCGACTTCATTTTACCTCTCGTTTTATTAAGCTTACAGAAACACAAACTGCAGTAATAACTAATGCTTTTAGCTGCAGGGCTTGGAGCAATTAAACAGATGCAGGCTCACAGGAAAACCAAACGACTTCCCTGCACACGGTGAGCACTGGTGTTGGAATACAAACACAAATTTCAATTTATTTATTTTGTTGGTATTTTTTATTTTATTTTGTAGGTCAAATTAAAGTATGTCACTCATAAACATTAAGTTTAAGGAACATGAACTGTCAGATTACATGAAAAAACATCGATGAAACTCCAGTCTTATCATAGATTCTATTGGATATACATCTTGACTTTGACTAGGCCATTCCAATGCATGCATATGCTTTGATCAATGCATTTTTAGAATCATTTTCCAGATGGAAGCTGCACCTCCTTTCCAATCTCAATTGTTTTTACAGTCTCTGTTTAGCTCTATCCATCTTCACATCAACTTTGACCCCACAGTATGATGCTGCTACCACCATGTCCCAGGATAACTTGGCTGAACACAAATATATGTCAGACTTTGAAGATCATAGAACATTTATTTTCCTTTACAGTTGTGCATTTTCTTTGTTTGGGTCTATCGTGAAATCACAATAGAATAAACTAAAATGTAAAGATGTTCAAGGGGTGTGAATACTTTTTCTATTCCTAGAATCTTGCCATTATTTTCTTATATTTTTACACTGGTAAGCACTTATTTTTAACAATTTTATGAGGTGAGAGAATTGTTTTGCAGGTCTATACCTGAAAAAGGTAGAAATGTTGCATCTGGGAACATAAATTAATTTATTCAGTTTCCAAAAATTGAAGTGAATCCTAGACTCTTAAAAAAAAAAAAAGAAAGAGAGAGAATAGTATGGATTTTGTTGTTGTTTCAGTTCTTCACAAATGAGACTATGCTGCAGAAAAAAGGTTATAGTTTCTGTTGGATTATTTCTGAACAATAAAAGGTGGCATGAGGAAAAAAATATCTATCACAATTCATTCAGCTGGTGCTACATTCCAGCTCTGCAGTGTTTCCAATAACCCTTTCCTCTCCGCCGTACACCGTTCTGTATTTTGCTAAAGGTCACCTTGGGTGTTGTAGAGTAGATGGTCCAATGGTTTGGCAATCTGGTGACGAAAATACCTGTTGGCGCCTGAGACATGGCGAGGAGGACAGCTGGAGCTACTTATGACAGACGGCTGAGATGGGAAAACCTCCCGTCTGGACTCCTACCTTTAACCTGCACAACACACGTAAAAATCACAGGAAGGGAAACTTAAAAGTGGCCGGAGATAAACAAGTTCCACACCCTCCTCATCCTCCTCCTTGCGGAGCGCTCGCTGGTGTCATTACAGCTCAGAGAAGTCCAGCTGACGCCGCGTCTGTCTCGAATTGTTAACAGCGAGGATCCGCTCCGCATTTGTTTACCTGCCTGTGTGAGCGTGCTCGCTAACCCATGGCGGGGAAAGAAATGAGTGTTTGTGAGAGATAAAACCTGAGAGGAGGAGGATAAAAACCGATCACAGAAAAAAGAAAGCGCTGCGAAGGAAGAGTGACAAAAGGAAAGAGGCAGAGGATTCTCATTGATTGAATCTGCCCAGAGAGGCATTGATACTGTGGCGGGGTCTGAAGTTTCACAGAAAGAATCAAAAACACTGAAGGATGAATCCACCATTACACATACGTTCTGCTTTTAGCTTTTCTGCCATAAATGTTTCAGATGATCAAACATAACAGACATAATGAATTAACTGTGATTGACCTCAGTTAATCTAGTCACATCCAGTTACGATTATTGCCAGACCTTAATCTAAAATGACTTATAGAACCTGTGTGACAGCATGAAGTCGACCAAATGATGTAAATAAAACACAGATACATGGAAATTCAAGAACTACGGAGCCCCTTAGGACACATGGGGGAAAAATGTTCTTTTGCGCTACCTCGCAAAAGTGTTGCATTCCATCATAATAAGTTTCGCAATAAATGAGCAAATACACCCAGGTCTGTTTTGTATACAGACACAAATGTCAGTTTAAAATTGCAAATATATACACATTTAAAGAGCCTCAGTGAAAGCGTGTTTATGTATTCTTAATACTTTGGTGCAAAAAGGAATACAATACTTTTGTCAGGTAATGCAAAAGAAAAAGAAAAAGAAATCCTCCATGTCCCCTAGGGGACTCCGTAAAGAACAGACAGGAAACAAAGTGAACTATATCAGTCTGGAATAGGTTACAAAGTGATTTCTGAGGATTTTGAATTATTACGTAGTAGGTAAATCTCTACTGCGCCATTCTGTTGGACACATCTCAGTTTCTCCCCAGATAAGGAAGGAGTCTATAAGCATATGTGAAAAAGAGCAATCGTTCCCAGGAGAGCATTTATTTCTGTTGCACATCACAATCCCCTCGCTGCAGATCCTAACAACCTGCCTTTTGAGAGGAAACCACAACCACCAAAATAAGAGCGACAGGAGGAGAAGAAGCAGGAGACAAAATAAAAAGAGGAAGTGAGCAATAAAGAGGAAGATGGATGAAGACTTCCTGAATGCTTAATAAATCTGTCACTGGTTGGAGCCGAAACGTGCAACGCACAATCCAGCTTTGATCAAGTGTGACCCTCGTGGATAAATTATGGGATTTTCAACATGGATAGAAATTACAAGTAAACTGGGGCATTCCCATTCAGCTTGTTTGTTCAGATAAGGGAGTGTGGTGATGTTGTTAGGTGACAGCTGTCGGCTCCATTCTCTTGTTTTTCACTCTGGAGGAAGAAAAAAAGCTAAGAATGTGGTTTCATCTTCAGTTTTCTCCTCCCTCTGTAGATAACAGATCCTAAATCTCAGCTCTTGGTTGATGCAATCTTATTCGCAAAGTGACACAACATCTCATTTCCCTCCGTCCGCCGTCTCGACGCAGGTCACACATCCTCTCCTTCTCTTCCTTTCTCTCCATGTTGGATTCCTTTTAGACTGTCGGTCTTCTCGTTTCTCTTAGGTGTAGCTAATCACTGTGTCTTTCCCTTTATTCAACATGTTCTCCTCCTCAAACACAATCCAAAAACAGCATCATGCTGCTATAATTGTCTTTCCCTTCCATCCTCAGACTTGGCCTTTTCTCTGCTTTCCACTGTCTTTTTTTCCCCCTCGTCAACAGAAAGCTATCGCCATGTTTGTGTAGCTTTTGTTGTGCAGCTCAGTGCCGCATAAAAGCCTTTGTTGGCCTGCCATAACAGTGATGCGGCGAGACGAAGATGCACAAGGACAAACTTGAACTCCATGAAGCCCACTTTAAGAAAATTGCGTCTGATTGTGACGCAGCGCCTCAACCTGAAGGCAGCAGAGAGGAGCCAGACGTCCTGTGCTTATCTGAGCCATGCTGATCAGTGTGGCCGTGTGAATTCTGCACATCGTGGCAATGCTTGTGGTGCTTTCCACGGCGAGATGACTTGAATTTGTGCCTCAGTGGGAGCTATGGCCGGCTGTAGGGCAGCAGCAGCTGTTGTGAGAGGCGGCGCTAACTTAGCTAATAATAGTCGTAGAGCTGAGTGAGTGCCAATGGGCCCCACATCATGTAGAGTTGACCATCGGGGTCCAGTTGCAACGAAGAGCAGCAATCAGGTCAGGTCCTGGATTACAGATCATAGCTTCCCTGCTTGTAGGGAGGAAGGCCAGTGGAGGTCTGTGGAAAACATAAAAAGTTATTGCATGACACATGAATAAAGTCATGCCAAGAAACTATTAATTGTAGAGATACAAGAGGTTTTGATCACTTTTATGGAATGCTGCAACAGATAAGACTGTTGCAGCACTGCTAAATGCTAACATTATTTAGCTAAATGCTAAATAATGTTATTTTGAATTGGAACAAATTAAAAATGCAGTGTTTATGGAAACAAAGTAGAAAAGAAAAATATATTGTTGACCCGAAAACTGTCTCAAATGTTTACCTTCTAAAAAAATGCAGAACAGTTTCTTGACTCTTTGGGTTGAATGATTTTCATTTTGTTGGTCTAGAAAATGTTTTAGTCTCAGCAACAACAGAAACTTTATTTAAAATGCCTTTGTGTACTTAGTCATGAACGTGTCTGATTTGAGTAAAAATTTCAAAAACTCAGTTCACATTGCACAGATTAATTGCAGTGATGTGCAACAGAATTATTGCATATTTACAGAGCAATAATGTGTTTGTTCCTCAGTACATATTACAATATTTTCCTGAATGCTGCTAAAACGTTGGTTTTTAAATTACAATTTTTATCATAGGCATGCATTTATGACACTGCTGAATTACAGATATAAATTGATTTTACCACAAGTACTTTTAATTTTTCAATAGGGTGCCGGTTTTCTAAGTATCCAAGCCCTCAGACAACATTTTTCCTTACTATCCTTGTAAATCATTACATTGTGGACTCACACTGGAGCTGGAGAGCTTTCTATCAGTTCTATCATTTTGTATAACATAAAGTTCCACTTGTAGCATTTTTACTCCTTGTTAATTTTCAGGTGTTCTTGGCTGCCTTAGGCTTACCTTTGAACTTTGATGATAATTTACATTTTCTCATCCTCAGACATAAAAGTGTATATAAAGTATAAGGCCCTACAAGCCTGAAGACCAATAAAAAAGGAGATGTAAAAATATATTTTAAGCCACATGATGTATAAAACTGATTAGTTTTCAACTCTTTTAATTTAGCTTGATAACACACTAAAATGTAACATGCAGAACAATTAAATCTTGTCGAAATAAGTGTATTGTGCTTTATTCAAAAAGCAGGGAGAAAATGGAAAAACTCAAAAGCTAATGTAAAAATATGTTTAAAAAAGAAAAAGATATGAAAAAATAGCAAAATATGTGAGAAAAAGTAAAAAAGAAGCAAATGTATCTATTTTCTCTTTAGTATTTGTTTCAGCATTTAATAAAAAAGTTTTAATTTTTGGGTCAGACAGTTTCAGTCCTCTATGTTTACTAATTCTCTAAATTTATAATTATATGCATCCTAATTGTTTAACTGAATGAGGCTAACTCTAAACGTATAGAGGGATCAGATCAAGTCGTTACAATACCATCAACTTGACATTTTATCTTAAATATCTTTTAATAAGAATGAACAAACAACATTTAAAATAAAGGAACAAAGGGCTTTGGGAATCCTCTTGGCTGAAAATAACAATGTGCCTTTATCTGTGACAGATAATATCTGCTGTTGGGAAGCAGAGCAGGATGTTATAGCCTGTTCTCTATGACCGCAGGAAATACACTGAATGTGCTGCAATTTATTTTCTGCTGTATAGTGGGGCACCTGCAGTCACAGAATGATCAATAGCTCATCATGAGGAAGGGGAAAAAGGTCAGAATATTATGATTAGAATCATTTTAACTCTACTGTAAACGTGTTGTTGGTGGTTTTTTCTCCTGTGTGAGAACATGGCGAGATAAGGAAGAAATTCAAGCAATGCCATGCTGTGTGTTTCTGGCCTGCAGGTCTGAGGCAGTCATGCGGCCATGCTGTTGATAGACCAAATAAACTTGATGTTTGCCTCCATTTCTGTTCATTACCCAGCTCATTTTGTTAGGCGCATGAGCAATTACAGCTGGCTGCTGTTGTTTAGCATTGTTGGCTGTTACTGTGTGTATGTTGAAATGTGATGTAATGTTTTGGGGCCGTAAATTCAATAATTTGTGGTGACTCCATCCTTAGGGAGGCTGAAAGAAATTCTCTATAATGTTAGAATTAAATCTTGAACACTGGGTGAATCAAAAAATCTTATTTATTCAAGCAAATTCTATTCAGAAACATGCCATATCAAAGTGACCTATTTCACATGTTCACTTCTGTTTATTATGATTCATTTTAGAGATAATATAAACCCAAAATTCACTTTCACTGAAAATCTGAATATAACATAAAAACAATAAAAAGCGTTTTTAATCCAGAAATGTCATGCAAGCGATTTGGAAGTTATCCAGCAGGCAGTCAACAGGCCGTTGCTAAAGAAGCTAGCTGTTCACAGATGTCAATGGAAAGTTAAGTGGAAGGAAAATGTGTGCCAGAGAAAGGTGCACAAGTAACAGGCGGTGACGGCAACCTTTAAAGTATTTTGAAGCAAAACTCATTCAGTAACATAAAAGAGATTCACCAGGTGTGGACTGCTGCTGGACTCAGAGTTTAAACATACAGACGGATCCAGGACTTGTGCTAGAGCTCTCACATTTCTTATAAACTAGAGATGTC